TTAAATGTTAAATAGAATTTTAAGTGATGATCGATCATGAGTCAATAACATGATAAAATAGAGAGTTTCTAAGTGCAGGGGATCTTATAAGAAAATAACTAGCACTTAGTTATAAGTAGGAAGTTAAGCGAGTATATAATCTAGTCTATAGTCTAGTCTATAGTCTAGTCTATAGTCTAGTCTATAGTCTAGTCTATAGTTTAGTCTATAGTCTAGTCAATAGTCTAGTCTATAGTCTATAGTCTAGTCTATAGTCTAGTCTATAGTCTAGTCTATAGTCTAGTCTATAGTCTAGTCTATAGTCTAGTCTATAGTCTAGTCTATAGTCTAGTCTATAGTCTAGTCTATAGTCTAGTCTATAGTCTAGTCTATAATCTAGTCTATAGTCTGGTCTATAGTCTAGTCTATAGTCTAGTCTATAGTCTAGTCTATAGTCTGGTCTATAGTCTAGTCTATAGTCTAGTCTATAGTCTAGTCTATAGTCTAGTCTATAGTCTAGTCTATAGTCTAGTCTATAGTCTATAGTCTAGTCTATAGTCTAGTCTATAGTCTAGTCTATAGTCTAGTCTATAGTCTAGTCTATAGTCTAGTCTATAGTCTAGTCTATAGTCTAGTCTATAGTCTAGTCTATAGTCTAGTCTATAGTCTAGTCTATAGTCTAGTCTATAGTAGTCTAGTCTAGTCTAGTCTAGTCTATAGTCTAGTCTATAGTCTAGTCTATAGTCTAGTCTATAGTCTAGTCTATAGTCTAGTCTATAGTCTAGTCTATAGTCTAGTCTATAGTCTAGTCTATAGTCTAGTCTATAGTCTAGTCTATAGTCTAGTCTATAGTCTAGTCTATAGTCTAGTCTATAGTCTAGTCTATAGTCTAGTCTATAGTCTAGTCTATAGTCTAGTCTATAGTCTAGTCTATAGTCTAGGTCTATAGTCTAGTCTATAGTCTAGTCTATAGTCTAGTCTATAGTCTAGTCTATAGTCTAGTCTATAGTCTAAGTCTATAGTCTAGTCTATAGTCTAGTCTAGTCTAGTCTATAGTCTAGTCTATAGTCTAGTCTATAGTCTAGTCTATAGTCTAGTCTATAGTCTAGTCTATAGTCTAGTCTATAGTCTAGTCTATAGTCTAGTCTATAGTCTAGTCTATAGTCTAGTCCTATAGTCTAGTCTATAGTCTAGTCTATAGTCTACTCTATAGTCTAGTCTATAGTCTAGTCTATAGTCTAGTCTATAGTCTAGTCTATAGTCTAGTCTATAGTCTAGTCTATAGTCTAGTCTATAGTCTAGTCTATAGTCTAGTCTATAGTCTAGTCTATAGTCTAGTCTATAGTCTAGTCTATAGTCTAGTCTATAGTCTAGTCTATAGTCTAGTCTATAGTCTAGTCTATAGTCTAGTCTATAGTCTAGTCTATAGTCTAGTCTATAGTCTAGTCTATAGTCTAGTCTATAGTCTAGTCTATAGTCTAGTCTATAGTCTAGTCTATAGTCTAGTCTATAGTCTAGTCTATAGTCTAGTCTATAGTCTAGTCTATAGTCTAGTCTATAGTCTAGTCTATAGTCTAGTCTATAGTCTAGTCTATAGTCTAGTCTATAGTCTAGTCTATAGTCTAGTCTAAGTAGTCTATAGTCTAGTCTATAGTCTAGTCTATAGTCTAGTCTATAGTCTAGTCTATAGTCTAGTCTATAGTCTAGTCTATAGTCTATAGTCTAGTATAGTCTAGTCTATAGTCTAGTCTATAGTCTAGTCTATAGTCTATATAGTTAGTCTATAGTCTAGTCTATAGTCTAGTCTATAGTCTAGTCTATAGTCTAGTCTATAGTAGTATAGTCCAGTCTATAGTCTAGTCTATAGTCTAGTCTATAGTCTAGTCTAGTCTATAGTCTAGTCTATAGTCTAGTCTATAGTCTAGTCTATAGTCTAGTCTATAGTCTAGTCTATAGTCTAGTCTATAGTCTAGTCTATAGTCTAGTCTATAGTCTAGTCTATAGTCTAGTCTATAGTCTAGTCTATAGTCTAGTCTATAGTCTAGTCTATAGTCTAGTCTATAGTCTAGTCTATAGTCTAGTCTATAGTCTAGTCTATAGTCTAGTCTATAGTCTAGTCTATAGTCTAGTCTATAGTCTAGTCTATAGTCTAGTCTATAGTCTAGTCTATAGTCTAGTCTATAGTCTAGTCTATAGTCTAGTCTATAGTCTAGTCTATAGTCTAGTCTATAGTCTAGTCTATAGTCTAGTCTATAGTCTAGTCTATAGTCTAGTCTATAGTCTAGTCTATAGTCTAGTCTATAGTCTAGTCTATAGTCTAGTCTATAGTCTAGTCTATAGTCTAGTCTATAGTCTAGTCTATAGTCTAGTCTATAGTCTAGTCTATAGTCTGGTCTATAGTCTAGTCTATAGTCTAGTCTATAGTCTAGTCTATAGTCTAGTCTATAGTCTTGTCTATAGTCTAGTATATAGTCTATTCTATAGCGTAATCTATAGTTTAGTCTATAGTCTAGTCTATAGTCTAGTCTATAGTCTAGTCTATAGTCTAGTCTATAGTCTAGTCTATAGTCTAGTCTATAGTCTATGGTCTAGCTATAGTCTACTCTATACTCTATAGTCTCGTCTATAGTCTAGTCTATAGTCTAGCTCTATAGTCTAGTCTATAGTCTAGTCTATAGTCTAGTCTATAGTCTAGTCTATAGTCTGTATCTGTCTATCGTCTAGTCTATAGTCCTAGTAGTCTAGCTATGTCATAGTCTATAGTCTAGTCTATAGTCTAGTCTATAGTCTAGTCTTATAGGTCTAGTTCTATTAGTCTAGTCTATCAGTCTAGTCTATAGTCTAGTCTATAGTCTAGTCTATAGTTCTTAGTTCTATAGTCTAGTTCTATCGTCTAGTCTATAGTCTTATATATATCGCTAGTCTAGAGTCTACTCTTATTAGTCTGTATATGTCTAGTCTTAGTCTAGTATAGTCTAGTCTATAGTCTAAGTCTAATAGTCTAGTCTATAGTCTAGTCCATAGTCTAGTCTATAGTCTAGTCTATAGTCTAGTCTATAGTCTAGTCTATAGTCTAGTCTATAGTCTAGTCTATAGTCTAGTCTATAGTCTAGTCTATAGTCTAGTCTATAGTCTAGTCTATAGTCTAGTCTATAGTCTAGTCTATAGTCTAGTCTATAGTCTAGTCTATTAGTCTAGTCTATAGTCTAGTCTATAGTCTAGTCTATAGTCTAGTCTATAGTCTAGTCTATAGTCTAGTCTATAGTCTAGTCTATAGTCTAGTCTATAGTCTAGTCTATAGTCTAGTCTATAGTCTAGTCTATAGTCCAGTCTATAGTCTAGTCTATAGTCTAGTCTATAGTCTAGTCTAGTCTATAGTCTAGTCTAGTCTAGTATAGTCTAGTCTATAGTCTAGTCTATAGTCTAGTCTATAGTCTAGTCTATAGTCTAGTCTATAGTCTAGTCTATAGTCTAGTCTATAGTCTAGTCTATAGTCTAGTCTATAGTCTAGTCTATAGTCTAGTCTATAGTCTAGTTTATAGTCTAGTCTATAGTCTAGTCTATAGTCTAGTCTATAGTCTAGTCTATAGTCTAGTCTATAGTCTAGTCTATAGTCTAGTCTATAGTCTAGTCTATAGTCTAGTCTATAGTCTAGTCTATAGTCTAGTCTATAGTCTAGTCTATAGTCTAGTCTATAGTCTAGTCTATAGTCTAGTCTATAGTCTAGTCTATAGTCTAGTCTATAGTCTAGTCTATAGTCTAGTCTATAGTCTAGTCTATAGTCTAGTCTATAGTCTAGTCTATAGTCTAGTCTATAGTCTAGTCTATAGTCTAGTCTATAGTCTAGTCTATAGTCTAGTCTATAGTCTAGTCTATAGTCTAGTCTATAGTCTAGTCTATAGTCTAGTCTATAGTCTAGTCTATAGTCTAGTCTATAGTCTAGTCTATAGTCTAGTCTATAGTCTAGTCTATAGTCTAGTCTATAGTCTAGTCTATAGTCTAGTCTATAGTCTAGTCTATAGTCTAGTCTATAGTCTAGTCTATAGTCTAGTCTATAGTCTAGTCTATAGTCTAGTCTATAGTCTAGTCTATAGTCTAGTCTATAGTCTAGTCTATAGTCTAGTCTATAGTCTAGTCTATAGTCTAGTCTATAGTCTAGTCTATAGTCTAGTCTATAGTCTAGTCTATAGTCTAGTCTATAGTCTAGTCTATAGTCTAGTCTATAGTCTAGTCTATAGTCTAGTCTATAGTCTAGTCTATAGTCTAGTCTATAGTCTAGTCTATAGTCTAGTCTATAGTCTAGTCTATAGTCTAGTCTAGTCTAGTCTAGTCTATAGTCTAGTCTATAGTCTAGTCTATAGTCTAGTCTATAGTCTAGTCTATAGTCTAGTCTATAGTCTAGTCTATAGTCTAGTCTATAGTCTAGTCTATAGTCTAGTCTATAGTCTAGTCTATAGTCTAGTCTATAGTCTAGTCTATAGTCTAGTCTATAGTCTAGTCTATAGTCTAGTCTATAGTCTAGTCTATAGTCTAGTCTATAGTCTAGTCTATAGTCTAGTCTATAGTCTAGTCTATAGTCTAGTCTATAGTCTAGTCTATAATCTAGTTTATAGTCTAATCTATAGTCTAGTCTATAGTCTAGTCTATAGTCCTGTCTATAGTCTAGTCTATAGTCTAGTCTATAGTATATTCTATAGTGTAGTCTATAGTCTATTCTATAGTCTAGTCTATAGTCTAGTCTATAGTCTAGTCGATAGTCTAGTCTATAGTCTAGTCTATAGTCTAGTCTATAGTCTAGTCTATAGTCTAGTCTATAGTCTATAGTCTAGTTTGTAGTCTAGTCTATAGTCTAGTCTATAGTCTAGTCTATAGTCTAGTCTATAGTCTATTCTATTGTCTAGTCTATAGTCTCTTATAAACATTTAACCTTAAATAAAGTCTAAAGTTTTTATACAAAATCCCTTTAAATTATAATTTTTTTGTATTAATCTGTACTCTGTTGTATTTCTTTTCCATTCCAGATCACCACGTCCATTTCGATGTCGCCAACTTAAAAGATGATTTCGAATCGGACAGTTGTGTAACGTATCAACGTTCGGGTGATACAATAGTCATCAGTCTGGGATTTCTGCAGGTCAATCACAGATATATGATTGATCTTAAACTGCCTAGCAATTTATTCAGTGATCTAGGCAGTAGCCTAAATCAATTTCAACCCGATGTTTCAACAGTTCCTAATCTACATTGTCGCATTACCGAATTCTCTGGAGTGAAACATGATGAACATGATTTCTACGAAATGAAAATAGAATTTTTCGCCTACAAAGAGAAACTTTTGCGTGAAACACTGCATATTGTTAATTCGAATAATGATAAGGAGGTGCTGAAACTATTAATTGCTGCTCGAGTCTTGGGTAAGGGTAAAGGTACCCCCATGCTGCGTAATGGTATACACTGTATAGGCATGGAAAAGGATGAGGAATCAGAGGCTTCAGATTTTCCCGGTTTTGGCAAGGATACATAAATTGAGTTGAGTCTGTGCGAGTAGGCGGGGAAGAGCTCACGACTTTATTTAGAGAAATAAAGCAATTAATTTTTAATTGTTGAATATAATAATTTTTTTCTATTTTAAGATATTCAAACATTATTTTGACTAGTTCTTAAGGAAATCTTCTAAGTGGCATTTTATTCAATTAAAAATATTAGAAATACTTTAAAGAAAAACACAAAACAATACAATATCTACCTTATAACCCGACTTTTCTCAATATTAGTAAAATATATAAAGAAGAATTGTTATGTCTGAAACTTTTAGGAAAATCTTGAGTACTTATAATACAATTAAGTACGAATTTTATAAATATCTCACAAAACAAAATAAGAAAACAAAGATGGAAAAGAATTTATTCAAAAACTGAAAACTAAATTTTATAAAAATAGAGAATTTCTCTTAAACTTTCAAAATTTCCTAAAATAGTATTAATCATCTCTAAAGAATCAATTCTTTTCTTTCTCAGTTTCCACCATTTATTCAGGTATTGTGTTTAATATTTCTCTTTCTTTATAATTTTAATTACATTTTTATTATTTTCTGCTTTCTCATCTGTTTAAAAGTAATTATAATTTTTAAATAAATTCCATGAAATGTTAATGTTAATTTTTTGATTGTTGTAAACAATTAAATTTCAATAAATTTTATATGCAATTCAGAAATATTGTTTATATTATTTTTGCAAAACTAATAATAAAATACTACAAGTTTAAGTCATAATTTAAAAAAGAAAAATCCCCTTTCGTATTGCATATTTAATAAAAAATATATTAAAATCAAAACAATTATTTAAGTTTTATTAATGTTTTAATTTGTTTAGTTTTTATGTTATGAATTTCTGATTTTGTTTTTTTTTTTTTTTTTTTTTTTTAATAAATTATAAATTTAATTTCAAAATAATAATTTAAAAGTTTTATTCAATTATTTAATTATCATAGTGTGTAGAGGTGTTTGTTTAGTCATGTGAAAGTATTTACGGAAAATTTTGATAATTTTTAGTTAAAATTTTTAATTATTGTTTAAAGAAGACATTGAAATTCGAAAAATCTTCATTAAAACGACAACTGAATTGATGCTATAGGACGATCGATCGATTCGATGGTGCTTCATTAAACAAATTCTTTCAAATTCTTCTCAATCCTCAGCAGAAATTTAGATAAAAGTTCTATAAAGAATAACAATTAGAAAAATAATTTATTTTTATGATTTATAGGGTCGATAAGATTTCACCGGTTCACATTAAACTGCAGGCTGAGGCTCGTATTCGTGATTGAATAAATTTGAGCGTAATTTTTGAGACAATGACATACGATATCGAACAAGAAATATACTACAATGTAGTATATAGTCAAGGCTATAGGCTGATCTGCAGTCAATAATATAGACTGATATAGCCAGGACTTGGACTGATCGATAGTAAAGACTAGAACCTGATCCAAATTTAAGACTATAGATTGATCAATAGTCAAGATGATCTATTGCCAAGACTATAGACTGATATAAAGTCAAAACTATGGACTGATCTATAGTCAAGACTATAGACTGATCTAAAGTCAAGAATATAGACCGATCTATAGTCAAAAATATAGACCGATCTATAGTCAAGAATATAGACTGATGTATTGTCAATACTATAAACTGATCTATAATCAAGACTATAGACTGATCTGTAGTCAAGACTATAGACTAATCTATAGTCAAGACTATAGACTGATCTATAGTCAAGACTATAGACTGATCTATAGTCAAAACTATAGACTGATCTATAGTCAAAACTATAGACTGATCTATAGTCGAGACTGTAGACTGATCTACATATAGTTAAGACTATAGACTGATCTATAGTCAAGACTATAGACTGATCTATGGGCAATACTATAGACTGATCTATAGTCAAGACTATGGACGGATCTAAAGTCCAGAGTATAGACTGATCTAAAGTCCAGACTATAGAATGATCTATAGTCAAGACTATAGACTGATATATGTATAGTCAAGACTATAGACTGATATATAGTCAAGCCTATAGACTGATCTATAGTCAAGACCATAGACTGATCTATAGTCAAGAATATAGTCAAGACTGTAGACTGATCTAAAGTCCAGACTACAGACTGATCTAAAGTTCAGACTATAGACTGATCTATAGTCAAGACTTTAGACTGATCTGTGGTCAAGACAATAGACTGATCTATAGTCCAGACTCTAGGCTGATCTATAGTCAAGACTATAGACTGATATATGTATAGTCAGGACTATAGACTGATATATAGTCAAGACTATAGACTGATCTATAGTCAATACTATAGACTGATCTATTTTCACTACTATAGACTGATCTATAGTCAAGACTATAGACTGATCTGTAGTCAAGACTATAGACTGATCTATAGTCAAGACTATTGACTGATCTATACTCAAGACTATTGACTGATCTATGGACTATACACTGATCTATAGTTAAGATGATCTAGAATGAATTGATCTATAGCCAAAACTATAGATTCTAACTTAAAATTCAAAATTTTATTCAACAAATTTATTGAAATTCAAAATCCCACTTTTACTTCCAATTTTTTCTCAAATTTACGGCTTTCACTAAAAGTTTTAATTACAAATCCAATTTATTTTTCACATAAAATTCATAATTTAGTAAAATCTAAATTTCCACAAATAATTTTAAATACTTTTAAAATTTTGAATTTCATTAAATCAATTTCCACAATAAAAACAAAATTTTACTAAATAATCCAAATTATGACTTAAAATCCAATTTTTCATAAAAAATAAAATTCTCCACAAAATTCGATTCTCATTGCTTTTTTACAAAAAAAATTTAATTAAATGATAATTTGAAAATTCCGCAATTTCATTAAAAATCCGTTATTTCACTAAAAATACAAAATTTTCTTAAAATTTGATTTTGATCGAAATTCTGATTCATTTCACTAAAATCTGAATTTTCATAAAATTTCTGTAATTTCATTAAAAATCTGTTATTTTACAAGAAATCCAAAATGTTCTTAAAATTTGATTTTCATTCGTAAAATTTCAAATTTAGTGAAAATCCTAAATTTTACTTAAAATACCCTTTTTCCCTAAAAACAATTTTTTACTAAAAATTTCATTTAAGTTTAAAGTTTAAATTTTTTTCAAAAAATAATAATTTTCAATTAAATTTAAAAATCTAAATTTTCTAAAAAACAACCAATTTTCACTAGAAATTTTATTAAAAATTTTTTCAATTTTTTTTTTAAAATAATCATAATTTTTTATTAAATTTAATTTTTCAGTTAAAGCTCTAAAAAATGCTAGAAGAGAACGAGAGAATCTTATCAGAAAAAGAACTAAACAGAGTTCTAGAAAAGGTCTTAAAAAGTACATAAACAGTAGTAAACTAGTAGTAAGATCGGTCCAGATGTCCAACAGCTTTCCGATCTGCAGAAAATTAAGATTCAATTAAACTTGACCACTTCGGATTCCGGTCCAAACAGATATTCATATCTTAAACTAATCTATAGGAAAATCATTCTAATTTAGAGGTTGTCTGTTTGTACAAGTTACACAGTGCAAAACGGAAAAAATAACCATATACGGACACCACTATATGATAAAAGACCAAAAATAAGAAGACCCGTGTCTTTCAGTTTTGCCCAAAGTCATGCACTTTTTTAGTTATAGGCCCCCAAAACTTTGGAGCCTCGGTGTTATTTTTGAAAAAAGTGATAATTTTCTCGGGCTCACCGTTCGGAATTTTGATTTACTCTCTGAGAGAATGTTGTTGCTCTTATTACAAAGAACCAAAATTCGGAACATATTAAATCAAAAAACGTTATCTTCATGATCAGAATCGCAAAAATAATTTTTTTTTTAATTTTTTTCCTTGTTCAGATCTATAAGTAGCAAACCGTTAAAAATTTAAGAAAACAATCAACTACGAAAACGTACCTAAGATCTCAATAAAAAACTTTCTAGATCATATGAACTTCCTAGGAATTATAGCTAAGTCGCAAAAGTGAAAAGTTTTGTGAATTTTTTTAATTTCATTTGTTTTTTCTTTACTTCAACATTGAGATGACGCAAATCGTCGTCCGAATTTTTTTATCGAAATGGGTGTCAAAATTGTCGTAATTTTTAGCTCATACAAACATTATTCCAAAATTCCAGAATTTGTTTGGCATTTGGTTTATTCCATTTCAGACTTTTTTGAAATTTGTATGCCCCTTATAATACAATAAAAGTCGCTTTGCTTACCAGAAATACACTAACAACAATTTTAATTATTTTTCCCTCGACAAGCTTAAAATTGCGGAATTGTTGACACCCAATTCGAAAAGATTGCAGAAAAAATTTTTGAACATATTGTACTGAGATCAAGATTTTCAAGCGCAGGTAGGGAACTGAGGACTTTATCAAAAAAATGTGTTTTTTATTTTTCCCGTATTAGTTCATTGAAACGCATCGTTTTAGAGGTATTCCTCCTAAAAAGTGGTCCAAAAAATGTTCAGGAAACTTTTCACTTTTGCGACTTGCCTATTATTCCAAGGAAGTTCATATGTTCTAGAAAGTTGTTTATTGAGATCTTAAGTACATTATTGTAGTTGATTGTTTTCTTAAATTTTGAACGGTTTGCTACTTATAGACCTGAACAAGGAAAAAAATTTAAAAAAATTACTTTCTGCGATTCTGATCATGAAGATAACGTTTTTTGACTTTATATGTTTCCAATTTTGTTTCTTTGTGATAAGAGAAACAACATTCCCTCAGGGAGTAAATCAAAATTCCGAACGGTTTGCAAGATATGAGCCTAAGAAAATGATCACTTTTTTTCAAAAATGACACCGAGGCCCCAAATCTTTGGGGGCCTATAACTAAAAAAGTGCATGACTTTGGGCAAAACTGGAAGACACGGGTCTTCTTATTAATGGTCTTTTATCATATGGTGGTGTCCGTATATGGTTATTCAACCATGACTTAAAAAATTACACACAATGTTATCAATAAAAATCGTTTAATCTGACAATCAAAATTATATAGATGTCTAATAGCTCAAGGGCTTTTAATAACGAGCGAAATCTTAATGTAAAACTAATTCCGTAATTTGTCTATATAATCGTAATTTTAAAACCATATAGAAAATATTTATGTTTAAAATTTTGCTCAATTATGTGTTTTATAAATTTCGCATACGTTTTTTTTTATTTAATATAATTTTACTTATTTCGATATTCATTTATAAATGTGCCTTTTTATTATATTAATTTTATAATTTACATATAATTATAATAATACAAACACTCAATAATCAAATATATTAAATAACTTTACCAACCTCCCTGGGACCCAATAATAAATAATTATATACAAATATTTGCGCATTCTATGTATCTATATATCTGTTAACAATAATTCAATAATATTATGTATTATAAATTATTATTATCCTTTTTTTTATTTACTGTTCAATAAATATGCATGATTGTGTGTATGTATATGATATAATACATTTTTATAAACAACTGATAGTTATTTATATAGATAATAAACTAATTAAATAATAAATATTAAACATGAAATTTTCATCACAATAAAACACCTAATAAGAGT